GGAAATATTTAACTGCTAAAAAACAGGTGCGTCGACTTGATAGGTGAAACTTGACGACCCTTGCCACCCAGCACGTGAGCTATTCATTGCAACACAACAGTCTCGGTCTTGTCTCATTGCTATCGTGTGTGACGTCATCACGGACGCGCCTGATAAGAAGTCACGCAGCGATAGTTAAGCCAGAAGCTGTGGGATATACAAAAAAAATGTGTACCCATAAAAGTGACTAATGCGCTTACGAATGGCGCAGCAGAGGTCGGGAACTAGTCTAGATTTCTGCTATACATCCGGGTACTCACTGGGAAAAAACAATAACAAAGGCAACAACCCGGGGAATTGCTTTAGATCAGTGTCCCTTTAAATAAAATTTAATCACAACTCGCCATTTATACCTGTATCACTGTGTAGATTCTTTTATATTTTAATGATGTAAATCACGTAAAATACGTCACTCAACCAGTTCATGTACCCAAGCTTCAGAAATACATAATCTGTACATGGAAATTGCATCCTTGATGTACTATTCTGTATTGTATGACAATAGATATATATGCTCCAGTACCGCCGCTGGTGGTTTTTAATTTATGAGAAATAAACATAATTTGGCTTGCACCCAACCATGCGCGTGCTAAATTATACAGACCAAAGAAGCTTTTCAAAGTAGAAATTAAGCAAACCGAATATTTATGAAATTGATTATTGCTAGAACATATGCATGAACAACAAGTACTATAATCGGAAATATATTTACATGTCATATATGCACCCGGATGCTCAAAATAACAGTACAATGCTAATATCCAAAATTTGTGTTCCAGCGAGTGAATACCAAATAGACAATGACCAAACCAGCTCTACAGACACAGACTCTCTCAAAGGCAACAAGGTGCAGGCTATATAATTTGGATATTACTTATTCTGTTAAGGAATTGGCAACATCAGCAAATTAAATAGAGCTCTTGGTGTTCTTATCTGCAAATTTAAATTAGCGGGTGCTATGTAATTTTCAGTTTTTGATAAACTGTATGATAATCTTGTTCAGCCAATACTTTCGAACGGTTCGGCAATCAGGGGCCTCAAGCAATTCAGATGTATTAATTCTGTTCAAAACAGAGCTGCTCGTTTCTTGCTTGCGGTTATTACCAAAACTCCAAATCTATCAGTCCGTGGCGAATTAGGATGGACAAGCCCACATACAAAACAGTATATTGAAATATTTCGTTTTTGGCGGCGAATTCAAGCGGTCGATCCAAATAGACTTCTTTGTTGGATTAGAAAATGGTCTACAAAATTCCGTAAACCCTGGGTAAACAATGTTTTTGATTTGCTTAATAGTTTAGATCTAACTGTCTCTGACGGTCTGCATTTAACCCAATTCGATTTTACCCGTCTAAAATATAAGTTATTAGCGTTAGATGAGCATAATTGGTATTCAGAATTGTGGAATGATAGAGGTTTACGAAATGGAAATAAGCTTCGTACTTATCGATTGTTCAAACACTCGCTGTCTGCTGAACCGTATGTTACATGTACTATGAACAGGTTTCATCCTAGTATCCTAAGCAAGTTACGCTGTGGCACATTACCCTTACAAGTTGAAATTGGTAGATTTGCTAAACCTATCACGCCTTTACAGGATAGAATTTGTAAATTATGTAATAATAAAGCTGTAGAAGATACATTTTCTCATTAATGTATGTCTGTCTGTCTGTCTGTCTGTCTGTCTGTCTGTCTGTCTGTCTGTATGTATGTATGTATGTATGTATGTATGTATGTACATGTATGTATAATGCAGGCACGGCCCGTTATGTATCATTCAATGTTTAGTAATCTTTCTCACTTTCTTATTAAAGGCATAATGTTGGATAAACTATTGTGTTGCAGTGAATGTTAATTTATAGTGACTAAGAAATGACATTGTTTACTTAGTAGCTTACGTGGTTGGGTGCTTAAATAGTGGCACATAAATAAACTATTCTTCTTCTGTTTGTTCATTTTCAAGATGCTGTGTATAACTTCCTAAACTGCTAGCAATTCGCATTTATATAAATAAAGCAAAATATCAATTAAATCTGAATACGTCAATGTGTAAATTTCTTGTTCTAAAAAGTACAGGTATTAGTATTCATATTCCACATGTTCAAAATTTGGATTTGTAACATCTTTTGTTATTTTCTTGCATCGGTTGTACAATACATTTACAGTCGTAGTTTGTTGACTGAGCCCCCAGAAATATTTTAAACATTGCATTCAATTTCGTGCCGTTTGGACAATATTCATACCAACAAATGTAATAAGTCAGTGGCAAAAGTAAAGTCAAATAAACAAAGATGGCGGATGCAGTAAAATTTCGAAATTAAATCAGCACTTTATCAAAAATGGGGAATAGCTTCAGCGCACCCGCCAGGTCTGCGAGCAATACTGCTGATTAAACATTCATAGTTTTTTTACATGAACAACTGTAAAACATCTCATTCATTTATAAAAGACAACGTTATCATAAAAACAAGCCATGATCGGAGTAGTTACAATTTCTGTGTGATGCCACGCCCCTCGTTATAGTGCAAGTATTCGTGATAGAAAACGTATGATGTCCGGAAACTTAAGATTAGACAATAATAGTATTGTGTTATGAATAATAATAAAGGTATGTTTGGTGCTGAAAGCTCTTATCAAAAACAGGATAATCCGCGACGGTTTTTCGGAGTACTTTTAAATCTTTGATTATATTTTTACGCGTAGGATGATTTTTCCGAGGACTACTGTTTTAAAAAATGCGATTTTCCGCGGAGATTTTACATTATAACAATGTATACCGTACAATAAAACCGTACAATCCAAATTCAACACTTTTAGGTGATAATGATATAGCTTTCATCCTCTGTGCAATCGCTATCTTCCCAAAACGTTCTTACACAAATCCCACAACTTGTTTACAGGTACTGTTTGAATAAGATTTGTGATGTATCGGGAGCAGATTAAAGAAAGGAGGAGTTTTTTTAAGACAATGTTGTTGTTGTCCACTACTGCTCATTGTCTCAACATATTGATAATCCCTCATAGAAGGGGAGTGGACCAGTCCATTCATTAATTAGGTGTGACCAGCATGGCCCAATTAATTAGTGAGCTAATTTTAACTGCTTTTTGGGAGGTCTGCATTTTGGAGGTCTACGTTATGGGAGGTCTACGTTATGGGAGGGAACCGTGCAATCCCACTCAGTTGGCTAATCTGCTATGCGCACGAGAGCATGTTACAAATCACTTCGCGGCATCCCGTACAAACCAATCTGAGCTCAGCACAAATCGATTTTAACACTTTCAAGTGATTATAATAAAGAATCCAATGCAATCACCCCCGACTGAAAATGAGAACCTATAGAACATTTAAAACAGCTATTTATACAGAGCCTTATGTCCTCCTTCCCCGTTATAAAAAGGTCGGTTTTATCATCTTTAAGATGCAGTTCAATGAAGCTCGATATTGAATTGGGACGTTATTCTAATCCTCCTATGCCAGTTAACCAACATTTTTGTAAATATTGCCCTGGATGTGTAGAAGATGAAACTCACTTTCTTCTCAACTGCTCACTTTATGATGATATTCGTGTTACCCACCTTCCACAAGTATTTAACCCCATAATGGCAACTTAAGTGATAATATTGAGGTTGTATATATTCTAAATGATTATAATATTATTTCAACACTAGGTAGTATGTGCTACAAAATGGCTGTTCGAAGAAAATCTCACTACCAATAACACCATATATATTTATACTGCTTTTTATATGTTTTAATTCAATTTGTTTTACTATGCATTATGTATGGTCTCTTATAACCCACATCGTGGGTAGCAGAGATACTTTATAGTGTACCTTTATAATAATGTATATGCCTACAACCTCTATCTCCGATGAGACAAAAATAAACAATTTGTCACTTGTCACTGTTAATCCGCTCTGTGCACTTGACCATAAAGTCTACCTACATACTTGTTCTGTTTTTTTGCATGTATCTAATATACTACACACAGGAATAAGAGACATATAATATGGTATGATGTGTGTGTTTTTTTTATTTGTTCCAAATATATTTTATTGTCCAAGGAGACAAAGGGATTGGGCACAAGTGCAATACTTCTTGCCACTTCCACGCGCTATATACAATATATAGCATGGAAGTGGCAATAAGTATATATATATATATATATATATATACACACACACACACACACACACACACACACACACACACACACACACACACGCGCGCGCGCGCGCACGCACGCACGCACGCGCACACACACACATACGGTGCTTCACTCATCACAAAAATTGTTTGTCTCTTTTCCTCATTTGCTTGTAAATATTGTGTTGGAATAAGGATGAATATTTTCCACTGTCTGGAAAATGTCGCCTGAAGATACTTGGATACTGAAATAGCATATATTGAGTACATAAGAGGACTGCTACGTCATGCATTTCAAGAACTAATATCCTGAGAACTAAATCTAACAAAGCTTATCTCATTCACAAACAATCTTTGCACACTGTAGCCATTGAAGCTGGGGTCCCAGGCAGTGTATTGTGTAGTAATTCAAGACTGTGAGTTCAGATTGTTTCATAACCTGAGCCTTATCCCCATCTCATTAGTAATCTAATATGATCTCTGTTTTTAAGTAGTAGTTAGCACCTCCTCTCCCCCAAAATCACATACAAACGTCGATCAAATGGATAGCGCGTATTTTTGGCTTAAGTGACTTGGACATTGTTTAGCTTCATACACTGTTCATAAGAAACATGTCAGACAGCTTTGACATCATTGATGACTTAGTCTTATGAGATGATGTAAACATTGGGGGAAATGAGCTCAAGTAAATACAGAAACAGAGGGTCTAAAATTGCCACAGTGTTAGGCCCGAAAGTCTATTTGGGATTTAAATTGTGATTAAGGAAGTAGAGGGTAGAGAGAGAACAAGATAACATATCTTAACAAAACCTACCTGCCAAACAAGTGCTAGTTCGTTCGTATCCGTAGTCCGTCACAATCTGTGATGAACGCATAGTGTGTTCGATGAAGGAAATACAGCCCTTCAGATCTTTGTTTACTGAATACACCTTGACCTATGTTCAGTGATATAATTTATTAAGCTATTGAAGCTACATGGCCGCCCATAGTTTCGAGGAAATGTCCTGGCTATACTTCAAGGTTTCGTGCTCAACAAATATATATGAATGTATATGATGTCTCATCTTGATATACTTTAATAATGCAATTCGACAAAGAAGATGTACAGATGCCTCGACCGCATGAATGAGTTCAACCTTGGCAGTCAACTAGAACAGGTAAACATGGCTATTAATGCTCATGTGTGTCAGGTTGCCCTAACCTCGCCGTCGTATCTGTACACAAAACAAGTTCATAGTCTAAACTAGGCTACATATGCATTTCTTCAGCCGTTTCAATAATGCAGTGCGCTGTCACAGCATGCTGCGTAGGTCTGTACAGCACAATGTATTTTATTAGTAATTGGTCGATCCTTCATAAATCATATTTTTGCCATTCATTTCACATATGCCTCGGTAGAATTGAGGTAGGGGAAGGACTTCTGGTCAGTTAACAAGGTATTCGGATATCCGGAAACTCGTTTATCCGGACAACATTTTAGAAAAAGCAATTGTCCGGATAAGCGAGGTTCGACTGTATAGCGCGTGATACATGACAAAACAGATGTGTTAGGACCTGATTCGCACTTGCTGAAGGGATACCAATAGACCCTGATCATAATACATTGGTTGCTTATTAAGACAAAGGGTTTGGGCACAAGTGCAGCACTTATTACCGCCTTCTCCCTATATACAGTTAATATAAAAATTGTAAATTTTGTATATATAAAATTACGGAAGCCTTTTATGGCCATTTGTTTGGTTTTTTTTGTTGGTGTGTTTTTTGTTGTTTTTGTTTTGTTTTCGACGCTATCTTGAAATTACAAGATACTAAGTTGAAATTTCAAGATACTAAGTTGAAATTTCAAAATAATAAGTTGAAATTTCAAGACACTATTTTAAATTTCAAGATACTAAGTTGAACTTTCAAGATACTATGTTTGTTATGTTGAAATTTCAAGATACATACTAATTATAAGATGAAATTTCAAGATATCCAACTTGAAATTTCAAGATAGTGTCTTGAAATTTCAACTTAGTATCTTGAAATGTTAACTAATTATCTTGAAATTTCAAGAGTGAGTGAGTAGGGTGCTACGCCGCTTTTAGCAATATTCCAGCAATATCACGGCGGGGGACACCAGAAATGGGCTTCACACATTGTACCCATGTCTGGAATCGAACCCGGGTCTTCGGCGTTACGATCGAACGATTTAACCACTAAGTAAGGATAAGAATTTATGGATGAACAACTTCTTTATTACAATTAAGAGCGACATCTCGGTGTAGGTTCTAACACCGTTATCAAGCAAGTGTTTTTCAATTTCACGAACAAAATAAACAAACAAATGGCCATAAACGGCTTCCGTAGATAATACCAGGGATAATTGTATCTGCACATTAGCCTTTCTCGATATTCAGCGTATTATATTTCTTCAGTCTATTTGGATACATTACTTCAGTTTCGTTTGGGAAGTGAGTGAGTTGGGTTTTACGCTGCATTTAGCAATATTCCAGCTACGTATATCAACGCGGGAAATCGGTTTGACGCAACGATGACAAAGGTTATGTCCGATACAATTTCCTATAGTGATTTGTACCATTTGTTCCCGTGTTTGATAAGGTCAACAGTTGACTTTCATTTGCATTTTTTTTAAAGTTTGTGACGGTTGCCACCGATGGGGCAAGATACGCTCACCTATTTTGCGAACAACCGGTGTCATCACTCACCCATAGTGATTCATAAACACTTACTCATGATATAGTCGGAGTCGTACAATCGACTCTGCTTTAAGCAGAAATATCTTATGGATAAGGAAAGGATTTTGTCACTTTTATTGTTTGTTTGTTTATTTCTTTGTGGTTTAATGCTGAACTCAGCAATATTCCAGCTGTATGACGGCGGTCTGTAAATAATCGAGTCCTGACCAGACAATCCAGTGATTGCACGATGACATACATCAACCAAGTCAGCGATCCTGACCACCCGATCCCGCATAGTCGCCTTTTACGGCAAGCCTGGGTTCCTTAAGGTCTTTTCTACCCCAGATCTTCACGGGTCCGCTTTTATTGACACATTGTTACCATGTGGGCAATCGGAACAGGGTCTTCGGCTACCCCACCGCCCCCGTTTTGGAAGTGGCATCAAGCACCCGTCTCATATCTTACCACGCAGGCGGTCGGGTAGCCTAGTGGTTAAAGCGTTCGCTCGTCACGCTGAAGACCCGGGTTCGATTCCCGACATGGGTACAATGTGTGAAGCCCATTTCTGGTGTCCCCCCGCCTTGATATTGCTGGAATATTGCTAAAAGCGGCGTAAAACCATACTCACTTACTCACTCTTACCACGCAATTCCCCTCAGATGCGTTTCAAATTAACAACCAATCAAAAGGACTTTTCTAAACGAGAATTCGACATAGGTCTGTATAGTGGGTTGCGTTTCAAACAGCCAATCGCTTGCAAGCGATCTAGAGCGATTCTCCTCACAACGGGGCGCTAACTGTCAGCCGCCTGCAATCGCACTGATCGTTGACTGGGGTCACTTCGTTCTCAAGCCAATATGGCGTCTGAGGTCGACAGCAAGAAATTCTTGACTGTATCAACTGGGAAATGGGCAAAGGCCAGCACTTTCAGTCGGCTCCATATCTTTAAAGTAGTCATAAATGCATCGGCTCGTCATCGGGCCCCTTCTATGACGTTCTCCATTAGAGCAAGACAACCAAGCGGCATTCGCGCCGCCATTTTGGAAGAGTGCGCAAGCGTTTCGAGCTGTTGCAGAGCCTGCGATGATCGATTAATTTGCTTACTCAAAGCGATTCTTGGATTGCAAAGCGCCCCAGATGTTGTAATACCAGACTTACGTCCACCATATGGGTTCCATAATCCAACAACACGTAATCTGATTGGTCGGCTATTTTCAGCAATGAAACCAACCCAAGATGAAGCTGTGCAAGTGAATGCTTTCGGGGAATTGTCCTTACAGAACTGAATCAGTTGATTTATACCGTGATTATGTCAGTGAGTTGGTGAGTTGGATTTAACGCCGCTTTGAACAGTATTCCATTTATATCACGGCTTGCCAGCTTAATGTGGGAGGAAAGCCCGAAGTGATGCAGGTCTCAGACGTTTACCACTTCGGTGAAACCCACGAGCACCGGTATGTTGCTGACACACCTGGAAAAATAATCGCGACGAACCGGGATTCGAACCCACAATCATTGGGTTCTTTCGTGCCCAAGGGATGCACCTCTGCACATCGAATTGCGGCGCCTTAGGCGACTAGGGTGACGTCTGTACTGGTGATGGGGTGGCATCAATACTCTTGGCAAGGTCAGGGGGTGACGACGGTACTGGTGACGAGGCGACGTCTGTACTGGTGACGGAGTGGCATCGATACTGTTGGCAAGGTTAGGAGGTGATGTCGGTACTGGTGACGAGGCGACGTCTGTACTGGTGACGGAGTGGCATCGATACTGTTGGCAAGGTGAGGGGGTGATGTCGGTACTGGTGACGAGGCGACGTCTGTACTGGTGACGGAGTGGCATCGATACTGTTGGCAAGGTGAGGGGGTGGCGTCGGTACTGGTGACGAGGCGACGTCTGTACTGGTGACGGAGTGGCATCGATACTGTTGGCGAGGTGAGGGGGTGGCGTCGGTACTGGTGACGAGGCGACGTCTGTACTGGTGACGGAGTGGCATCGATACTGTTGGCAAGGTTAGGAGGTGATGTCGGTACTGGTGACGAGGCGACGTCTGTACTGGTGACGGAGTGGCATCGATACTGTTGGCAAGGTGAGGGGGTGATGTCGGTACTGGTGACGAGGCGACGTTGATACTGTGACGAGGTGACGACGGTACTGGTGACGACGGTAATGGCGACGAGGTGGCGACGGCGCTAGGTGACATCGTGACGAGGTGACATCGGTACGGATGACGAGGTGACATCGGTACGGGTGACGAGGTGACGTCGATACTGTTGACGATGTGACGTTGGTACTGATGAGGAAAAAGGTGCGGGATCCTACTCCTACCTGGAATTTCAACTGTCAAGCTTTGCATCAGGTGTTTCTGTTTGTTTCAGCAAACTCTCTGCCCATCTGGTCAAGCGTTGGGCGATGGTTGTCAGTGTGTATGCAGTCCTCCCTGGATGGCCGGAGACAACTGTGACATGTACTACGAAGGTTGGTACTGGGAGGACACATGTTCAGTTGGTTTTAACCCACTGTCAGATACGGGGGCACGGGTGGCCCAGTCGTCTAAGCCGCCGCAATTTTCTGTGAGAGTTGCGTCCCTTGGGCACGCCAGAAACCTATGATCGTGGGGATCACCTCCGTGGTCTAGTGGTAGAGCGTCAGCCCGGAGAACGGTAGGTCCGGGGTTCGATCCCGGCCGCGTCATACCAAAAGACGTTAAAAGAAGGTAATTCTTGTTACCTTGTCTGGCGCTCGGCATTAAAGGGCTAAAACAAGGACTGGTCGGCTCGGAGTCAGTATACTGTGTCTGAGTGGGGTATTCATGTTAGACTGCGGCATGGTATCTCAGTGAGCTAGCACTATAAATCGGCATCAGTCCGGACTAGTACAAGCAGCCACACACACACACACACCACTGCATGCACGTCGCTATATAAGTGCAACAATCTTGGACGCGACGTTAAACCCTCTTTCACCTCACCTCACCTATGATCGTGGGTTGCAATCCCGGTTCGCCCCGATTATGTTTTTAGGTCAGTACCATACCCGTGCTCGTGGGTGGAAGTGGAAACGTCTGAGACCTGCATCACTTCCGGATTTCCTCCCACATTAAACTGACACGCCGTGATATAACTGGAATACTGTTAAAAGCGTCATTAAACCCTTACCTTGCACCCATAATCAGTGGACATTGTGTCCAACCGATCCTCACTCCACTACACGTTGAGCATCCTCAGCCTATTGTCACCTGTGAAGCAGCTGTAAGTCGCAACAAGACATCACGTGACAGACATTAAGACATTTTAGTCTACTGCTCAACAATTGACCCGCCAGCTGCGTATGTTTCT